TTGCTCTCAAACTAACAACAAACAAAAAACCTAGTTTAAGGTCTCTAGTGTCTCCAGGTGTAATTTTCAGGAGAAATTCCCACTTTCTCTGCCACAGACAACATTTAAGTTAACTGGAGCAAAAGCATAGCTATTTTGCTGGGTCTCACACCAATCCAGACATTTTCCTGCTGAGCCGGCAACTCCACCTCTCTTTGCCCTCAGGAAAAGTTAAAATACTTTTAACAAGATATTTGAGTTGGGTAATTAAAATCCACAAACCAGCTGGACATGGTGGTGGCACACACCTGTAATACCAGCACTTTGGGAGATTAAGGCGGGGGAGGATCACTTGCGCCCAGGAGTTCAAGACCAGTCTGGGCAATAGAGTGAGACCTCATCTCTAAAAATAAAAGAGAATAATAATCCGCAAACCAAAACTTGGTTTCCCCGCAATCCAGAATCCTGTCTGCTATGCTCACAACCAAATCCAGCCCAGAGCACTTGTTTCTATACCAATCCTCTCCATTCCGGGAAACAGAACCTGGGGGTGACTCTTGGCAACGCCGTCTTCTTCCTTCCCCGCCTTCTTCCAGTGTTATCGGTTCTTCTTCCAGATTTCCGAACTCCAACTCCACTTCCTCCACCCTCATCCAAGCCACTTCTCTCCTGGATTATTACAATCGCATGCCAACTGATTGAGCCATGCAGAGACTTTCCTCCTTCTAAGTGTGATCTTTTTTGTAAATGTAAATTGGACACTCTGCACACCTGCTTTAAAAGCTTGAGGGGCTTCCGATTGTTTCAGATATCAGCTTTATCCCCATGATAAGGCCCTGATGAGTCTCTAACCTCAACTTCCCACCATACTCCTTGCTCTTCCTTAAAAGCACCATGCCATTTCCTGCCTTGGGGCTTCGCTCCCGCTGTTTGATTTGCCTGATAGCTCTTCTTAAGCTCTTTGCCCACTGGCCTTTTGTCGTTTTTCAGGTCCCGCTTAAAATCATTTCCTTGAGGAGGCCTTCCCCACCCAATCTAAAGCCACTCCCTCGCCCCACAGTAACCTCTCACAGTTCGCTGCTTCGCTGTGCAGCACTGATTACCAAGAGTCATCAGACACCGATCTGACTGTGCCCACAGCTGTCTCCCCCTCTCCACTGTCACTGTGCTGTCCCCAGAGTCTAGCGTGGCACCTACCCTTAAAAGAGCACAGTATATATCTGTGAATAAATGAATCAAGAGTAAGTAGGCTTATCCAATTTGCTGTTCTTCAACCTTAAATTCCCAGAGAAAAGTGATTACATTTCACCTTACATCAGGAGATGAGGATGGAGATCAAAATTCAGAACCCTGAATTTAGCACCATTCCATTCACTAGTCTCAGCTTTATGGGGAATACAAAAGACAAGCTCCCAAAGAAACTGCAGTCTCCCTAGAAGAACAGACACACACCTGAACGCTTGGAGAATCACTTAAAGATAGAATATGTTTGAGTGTCAAAATTACAGAATAAACCAAAAGTAACCTCAAGTTTTTACTTTTCCTCCTTGGGCATAAGAACCCAAAGAAGAAAAGTAATCCATGGAAGAAAATTAGCCACATGCAGGGGTATAAAGTAGGTCCAAAAATGTGATTTATAAAAGGCTACCTGGAGGAATACCAATCAGAGGACAATATATTATATGAGGAAGACAAACTGTGCACAGACCACCCCAAACAGAGCAGCACCTAAATCCTTTACAGGGTAGCTTCGGTCTTTAAAAAGGCCAAATATTTTGGTAAGCAATCCCCAGTTAGACACTGTATTAGCTCATGTTCAGAGAACGCAGTGGTGTCATTTCTGGTTTATGAACACTATGGGAATGTAAAAGAGAAACATTTACCTCTTCATCCGAGTCAATGTGAATTAATTTTGTTTAAGCATACCTTTTTAAAGGGCTTTCATTTTCACAGCTCCCTAACTTTTTATTGCATCTTTTCTCCAGGCATAGTTGACCATGGAACATTGCTTTGGGGAGCCTAGGTGTCAGCAATATGTAGTTCTATTTTAAGCTCAGGGAGGAGCACATGTAATATAAGTAGGAACAGGGAAAAGAAAAATAAATGAAAAGTCTGATGCAACATATTTAGGTGGACTTGGAATCATGTTTTAAATTAAGCTGCAATTAGGCTACAGAACCCCATTCTGAAGAAATTCACCTAAAGGAGAAAAGAGGCAAAACGTAGGCACCAGTGCTTACAAGTGCAGACAGACAGACAGACAGATGGATAGACAGATGGATGGACAGACAGATTAATAGGCAGATGGACAGATGACTAGATAGTTGATTGATGGATAGATAGATAGACAGATGGATAGACAGACAGACTGACAGCTAGAGAGATGGATATACACACAGATGGACAGAAGGACCGACAGAGACAGACAGACAGATGGACAGATAGACACACAGACAAATGGACAGATGGACAGACAGATGGATTGATGGACAGATGGATAGACAGATAGGCAGATGGATAGACAAACAGACAGATTGAGATTTTTCCATGGCTGTGTATCTACAAACTTTCTCTGTTAAGGCAATTATAGCCAAAACGTAATAAAACAGGAACAAACAATTTTTATGTGACATGGAAGATGAGGTGATATGGGTATATGATGACTTATATAGGAATTAATTACTTTGAAACCATAATTACCATGCTTTAAGCAAAACACTTGTTTTTCATGAAGTAGACCACCAGGATCCGAGGAATTAATTTGTTCAAAATCCCTGTCATATAAGGAAAGAGATTTATACTTGATAAATGTCTTTTAAGTTAAGATATTACTACAAGCCAGGCGCGGTGGCTCACACCTGTAATCCTGGCACTTTGGGAGGACGATGGAGGAAGATGGCTTGGGCTCACAGGAGTTTGAGACCAGCCTAGGCAACATGGCAAGATCTTGATTCTACTAAAAATAAAAAAATTCGACTGGGTGTGGTGGTGCACACCTGTAGTCCCAGCTACTCAGAAGGCTGAGGTGGGAGAATTGCTTGAGCCCAGGAGGTGGAGGCTGCAGTGAACTATGATTGCTTCACTGTACTCCAGCCTGAGCAACAGAGAAAGACCCTGTCTCAGAAAAAAAAAAAAAAAAAATTAGTACAGTACTCCCTACTTAGGCTTCTTCTCCTTGAGGTCCTTATTCGATTTTTCATTTTAATAATGACTTTCATAAACCTCAGAAGGTCTCCCAGCTCGTGCACAGGCCTCAACCTGAAGTTCTGGTAATACAAGTTACCAGGCTCCCCTGGCTGACCACTGCTGTCTATGCTGGGGGCCTTCCAAGGCCAGGGAGCTAACAAGGAGGCGGGGGCTCTGCAGAATACTCGGGGCTGTAAGGACCAAGGTGCTAAGGCAATCGTCCACAGGAGCTATCTAGCTTCGCTCGTAAATAAATAAAAATAAATAAAAAATAAAATGTTTTGTAGCGGAACATAGCAGAAGAGCCTAACACTACCAGAAGAGAATGAGTTTAATCTGAGGAAATGTGAGGCTAATGTAATGAGTTTGAGCCCAAACTTAGATGTCACCCAGAATGACACAACTCCTGAGAGCATCTACACCAACTGCCCATGATGGAGAAGGAATGTGGGATATGGGGTTTCCCACATGAAATTCCAGCCCAGACTGCCACTCAGAGCAAGGAGCCTGAAACTATTCTGTTGAGAGTATGAAATCATAACAGGAAACAAAACCCTGAGGGTGGAAAGAAGGGAAGGGGGTGGGGACCCCAGTGAAGGAAAGGACCAGTGGCTGGGGACGTGAGACTCCGAGCTATTCTTTTGCACATTTCTTTTGCATATCTCTGCATAGTGGAGGTAAGGCAAGTCAGCATTCCCCATCTCTAGTGAATTCTCCATCAAGCCAGCATAAACAAAAGATTCCCTCCGGTGTGTTCTTGGAGTCTAAAGTAATGGACTCAAACCAGTTAAATGGAAATCAAACCTGTTCTGGGAAGCCACGGCTTCCCTGACTTTGAGAGCTCTGCCAAAACGACCTCAGGCAGGAGGGAGAACAAGCCATCAGTTTCCCTTCTGGAGTTGTCTGGAGCTAAGATATTTGAGGACAATTGCTGTTTTGAGGTTCAACTCCTCCTAAGGTGGATATTCCAGGAACTTCAGGGCCAGCACTTCATCAAACACCTGTACTTCTCCCAAAGTCCCTGATAATGCTCTGGTCGAATTTTCCTGAGGGTGACTCAGCAGTTTTCCCAGATGGCTGTCAGCAGGGACTTCTCTGGCAGAATCCGGAACAGAATGACACAACCAGGGAACTTACGAAGGTTAAATCTGTTGGGCTGGAGCCCTCACAGCTACAGTTAGATGTGCTGGCAGGGCCATTAGCTGGGAAGCAGCACTGGTTGATAAGACTATTCCCGAGGAGCTGGCATACAGTGAGCACAACAGGTCCCAGCACAGGGACCAGGTAGAAGGCTTTCACCCTCCCTAATTAGCTCACCAGACACAAGGGGTACCTGTACACACCAACCCTGCACCCAGTTCCCAATTTCGGGTCACACAGGATGGAGACATTACTTTTTGTAGGAGATTATCAGGCAAAAAAATTGCTGAAAGTTTCCCTCATTCAGTTTGCCTAGAGTCATCCCGTCTCATGGGTGATTTTTTTGTTCTACACCTTGTCTATTTTACTTCTCCTTCTCTCAGTATACTAACATAAAGTGCTACAGAATGCATAACTTTCAATTAAAATAAATTGTACTTTTGCAACAGGATTACTTCATTGTAATTTATAGAACTCATAGTGAACAAGTTTGAGTACAGAATCATGGAAATCTAGAATCAAGAGGATAATAGAAGTGGGTATTAACAACTGCATAGCGGTAGATTTTATACCCATGGCATCTGATAAACTCACACAGAGGTAAAGTTCTACTTCAGAGCTCTAAAATGTTATCCTTTGGTTCCCAGAAGCATAAAAATGCGAGTTAGGCTGAAAACCCAATTTCAGGTACTTACTGATTCCTTGAAAGAGCTCTTCAATATTAATAGCATTTTTTGCACTTGTCTCAACCACGATGGCACCTATGGATTCAGCATATTCCTTAGCATCCTTCAGGGGAACCTCCCTGGAAAACAGGTCAAATACGGACAGGAAATGAATGCTCGTTTGTAAAATGCAAATCACCCAAAAGATCAAACAGCTTGTGTGGCACATAGCTCCTTTATCTTCTTGTAGAATAATAACCCAATCACTCAGCAAGAATGGACACCTAGTATGAGGAGACTTTTTTAAGTAATGGACTCAAACCAGTGAAACGGAAATCAAAACTGTTCTGGGAACAGTTTTAAACCCAGTCTCTGGCAACCATGTAGAGAAGATATGCATATACAAAATAGTGTTTGTGCTCCCAGAGAAGAATTCCAAAACAGCAGGGGAAACCACGATGAATATGGCAGTACACATTTCAGCTTTCAGAGTTACCGCTGATTTCAACTTTTTTCCCCATTACATGACTTGATATTTAAAAACGCCAACACCACTGTTAGTGTGTTTGTGCACACACGTTTTGTGAAACTTTTTATATATTATCTTTCACAAATCAGAGAAAATATGCAATGTGCTGTGACAGTTTGGAAATGAGCATGATTGTAGCCACTATGGCTACAACACACGATGGCGTACCTGGACTTTCACCTGTAAGAGGATGTTCTTGCAAAGGTTTTAGGCCATTAGCTCTATTTAAATGAACAATCTAAAAAAAAATCTCACCCTGAACGCACCTGATTCCATCTGATCTTGGAAGCTAAGCAGGGTCAGGCCTGGCTAGTACTTGGATGGGGTCTACTGCCATATCACCCTAAAAAAAAATCTAGTGACCCCTTTTCAATGTGAAGATGCTGTGGTGGATCCAAAGGTAAAAAAGATGCAGCTCCTATTCTCCAGCAGCTGCTGCATGCTAGTTCCTTCCCCAGGGGCCAAGGAAAACACAGGTCCTGCCTTCTGGCACCTTTCCTTTAGTGCACAGACAAACAACGCTCATCCAGGGGCACTCTAATCCACAACACTGCAACATAAACTGCTTCAGGAGCAGAGGGGCAGAAAGTGATATGTCCTGTTCAATAGGCCCTGGGAATATGCCCAGAGATGGTCACCTAGGCAAATGCAGGTAAGAATCTGGAATGGGACAGCCTGAACAGAGGCCCAGAGACAGGAGAGTACACTCATTCCAGGAGATTATTAAAAGTTGATTCTGCACCCAGCACTGCTGGAGGTGTTATGGTAGATTTGCAAATGAATGGCATGCGACCCAAATGGAGAGAATGTCAGGGTGGTTGGAGCTGAGGGAGGGAGGCACACCACTTCTGACTATATCCAGAGGCCACTGAAGGACAGGAAGTGACAGGGTCAGCTCCACAGTCTAAGAAAAAATAATGCACCGAATGGACAGAGGTGAGGAGAAGAATTTGGAAACTCCTCTAATGCTGAAGGTGAGAGGTAACACAATCCTCGACCAGAGGATGAGTACTGGAAAAGAGAAGGCAGCAGATACAAAATCAAAACAGGGACAGGGAGTGATGAGACAGCATCTACCTCCCCGACCCTTCCTCTATCCTCCTCAGAGCCTGTAAATGGCTTCAAGAGGTTTAAAGTTACCAAGGAAATTTTACCTTGGCATTCAAATTCCTATGGGACTCAAATCATATGTAGGGAGGACCCTTCAGTCCTAGCTGGAAAAGCGTCTAACTAGGGCCTACCATGTTAAAGGCGATGGTCCCAGCCTCTCAGTCAAAGGAAATACGTCCCTGAAGCCCAGTCAGTGGGAACCTGTACTTCCAAACTGCAGGGGAAAGTATACGCCGACATTCACTCTACATTGTTTGTAACAGGCAAGCCCCAGGCCTGTCACAGGGATTACGCTTGAGTTTTTCTGGCAGCAGAACTTTTATATTTGAAAGATTCCAGAAAACTGCTTTTCTCTGTGCAGTTTGGCATGGTATCCTGTTTTTTACTTCCTCCTGAAGTCTTTTTTTTTTTTTTTTTTTTGAGACAGTGTCTTGTTCTGTCACCCAGGCTGGAGTGCAGTGGTGCAATCTTGACTCATTGCAACCTCTGCCTCCCGGGTTCAAGCAATTCTCATGCCAAAGCTTCCTGAGTAGCTGGGATTACAGGAGCACACCATCATGCCAGGCTAATTTTTGTATTTTTTAGTAAAGACGGGGTTTTGCCATGTTGCCCAGGCTGGTTTTGAACTTCTGTCCTCAAGTAATCCACCTGCCTCAGCCTCCCAAAATGCTGGGATTGCTTTTACAGGAGTGAGCCACCGCACCCAGCTTCTTCCCGAAGTCTTTATCAAAGCACAGATAAAGGGTGGGGCTCATGTCTGCCCACAATGGGGTCCAGGAGGAGATGTCACCTGCTACCCTATTAGGGGTGGGGTATGGAGCACCTGGCAAGCAAGGATGCCTCGGGGCCCGCAGGTGAGAGGAAATCACGCTCACAGGTGACGTGCTTCCTCAGTCCCTCTGATCAGTCCAATTGCAGGACAAGCAGGTGCAGCATAGGTTCACCAGGCTTACATGAGAAGAGTTATCACCTGCCACAGCCCAACATCTCCATCCTGAGAGCGACCATGGCTAAGTGGCTAATTCCTTGACAGTCTGCAACACAGACCTTGAGATGGGGAAATAAGAAAAGCACACCCTCACACCCCTTCCACCCACCTCTAGCTGTGGAAGGAGTCTGAAGGTGTGCTTTTCTTATCTCTCCATCTCAAGGTCTGTGTTGTAGCCTCATTAAATCATCGGCCTGCTGAAGTGACACACCTAATGAGAGGTGAGGCAGGGCTTAACCCAGCCCTGTGACTCTGTCCACTTCACTTCTGCCAGGCCCAACTGGCACAAGCACCCACTGACACCACACTTCAGAGGCTGTTCTTTCCATCTTGACAGACACACATGGGGCTCAAAATATTTCAAACTGTCAGATGCACTGGAGTTGGGGTGGATGGGGCCAGAGCCTACTCCAACCATCTAAAGAACAGGTGCTTACAGGAAGAAGCTGGAGGGCCAGTGAAAATCTCTCTAATGTGAACTGAGATTAGAAGGACCAACCACACTTGAGTCTGCCAAAATACTTTCCTATTACTGTGGCATAATAAAGAATACAGATTCAGTCTTTGCCCTGGCTCCTGGCACGGTTCTCTCCAAACCCTTGGAGTTTCCTGCATGACAGGAGTGTCTTCTGGTATTCTTGAAGAGCCCCTTCAGTCATGCCTGAGTTTGATAGGATGTGGCCCTAGACCATCGTGTGGCCTCTTCAGGATGAGCCTGGTTGCTGGAGGAATCCACCACATGGTTAGAGAATCAAACATTTCAGCCCAACCCCAGCCTCTGGGGCTGGAGATTTAATCAATAATGATTAAGTAATGAAGCCTCAATACCAACTCTTGAGCACAAGGCTTGAGAGGGCCCAGGCTGCTGAGCACACTGGTACCCTGGAGAAGCTGGAAGCTCCTCGTCCCACCCCTACCTCTTGCCCTTGCTGTCTCTTCCATTTAGCTACTCCTGAGTTGTGTCCATTACAACAGAACTGTATGTCAAATTAATATTGCAAGGAGGCCTTTGTGTGGGACTAAGCTCCTGCATTTAGGGCTCCAAAAGACGAGACTAAAAATAAAAACAGCCCCCTATGCTTAAATTCCTTTCACCAAACCCAAACTAAGTGGTTATGACCTTCTGAGAAGTCACAAGAGATAACAGCCAATTTTCAAAACAGGCCAGTTGACATCTTCAGTAGCCATGGAATGAAGTTCCCTCGGCTTTAATCCTTACATACAATGTTAACTAATCTGACATTTTTCTATTGTTCTGTCTCCCTGTCCCTCCCTCTGCCCATCCCTCAAGAAAAGTATCTTTGAAACGAAGAGCAGGCTCCTGTTCCTTCCTCCTGCTTTCTTCTTCCCTTCTCTGTCTATAAAGCCAATCCCTTCTACTCAGCTCATGGTAACACTTATTCTATTTTATGGAATGATGAGTTGCCAATTCTAGAGTCATGAATAAAGCTAATTGAGATCTTTAAACTAAATTTGGGTCAGGCACAGTGGCTCATGCCTGTAATCCCAGCACTTTGGGAGGTCAAGGCAGGAGCATCACTCCAGAACTCCAAGTTTCTCTTCAAAGAATCAGTATGTCAGCCAGGCGCGATGGCTCAAGCCTGTAATCCCAGCACTTTGGGAGGCCGAGGTGGGTGGATCACGAGGTCAAGAGATCGAGACCATCCTGGTCAACATGGTGAAACCCCGTCTCTACTAAAAATACAAAAAACATTAGCCGGGCAGGGTGGCGTGTGCCTGTAATCCCAGCTACTCAGGAGGCTGAGGCAGGAGAATTGCCTGAACCCAGGAGGCGGAGGTTGCGGTGAGCCGAGATCGCGCCATTGCACTCCAGCCTGGGTAAAAAGAGCGAAACTCCAACTCAAAAAAAAAAAAAAAAAGAATCAGTATGTCAGTACGTTCAGCTCTCTTATTCTTTAATTCTCCATTTTAAAGTTTAATTTCCTGGTTCTCTTTGCCACCTTGCGTCTAGTTTGGGTAAATAATTTTCCAGCCAGTTCTAATCAGTAGTTCACACCTGTTCCCCTGGTCACCTGTTTTGACCCGAGTCACTCCTGGCTACCTGCTCTGACCTGTTCCATAACCATCTTTCCCACTAAACTATCCACCCCACCACTCCAGCTTGTACTCCTGCTCTCTTTAAAACAGCCGATCGGAATTAGCTTAGACTGTGCGATCTAACCTAGCCCATAGGGGAATGACACAGCAGTAGGGGCTACCTGTATCAGGAATAAGAACCCTTTCCCTCCCTTGTTCAGGTGTGCGCTTACCATTGCTCCGTAAGTGAGATGCACCCTTCTATAGAAGTAAATTACCTCGCTGAGGAAATTTATATTTGAATACTACTACTTTTGTGGCACTGAAAATTTACATATAACACCAGGAGTTCAAGGCCAGCCTCAGCAGCATAGCAAGGCCCCGTCTCTATGAAAAATAGGAAAAACTAGCCAGGTGTGATGATGTGTGCTTGTGGACTCGGCTACTTGGGAGCTGCTGAGGCAGGAAGATTGCTT